TCACAGCAAACCAGATTCAAGATGATCTCCAACTAGAATATATCCCAATGATGGTATTTCAAGGATACAGTATGATCCATCATAAGCCACCCGGCCTGTGCACTTTGAGAGACAATTGCGCTGCCTGCTGTCTTTTACTCCTTTTTCTCCCCGAAATTAAGCTCAATTGACAGTATTTGTGGTATAATGCTGATTAATTAATTAAATTTCCATTTGTATCTCCTTTACTTTAAAAAAAGGCAAACTTACAATAGAAATGAATGAAGGCAATGCATAAATGTTAAAATACTCTGTTTCAAAAGTCATGACAATGCATGACAAAACGACAATGCAACAACACAAATCCTGAAACCCTAAAAAGGCTATAAAAGTTATTAAGTTAGACAGCTTTTGAGCTCAAATAATACATGTTTTTAACAGAAAATTCATTGTAAGTTTTTATAAAATTCACATTCTTGCTTTTAAATCCTCCAAAAATGTCCCCATTTACTTCCATTGTAAGCGTCTCACTGTAACTTTGATTAAATGGGTACTGCAGTACAAATTAAAAAATTGGAGAAAGTAGTTTCTCCCAACCCCTCCTCCTCAAGACTCGACGCTTACGCAGGTTGCCAGATTGAGGACACGCAACAAGACAGAGCGCAATTGACAGTGATGAGCTTTACAGTGTAAGCTGATTTATTTGTGTTTTAATATGGCTCTGGTCACAGAGATTTTTAGATGGATACCGAGGCTTTTTAGGTTGGTTGAATCTGCGATCTCTGATGCAGTTTGTTTGCTGGCTTCCATGACGGCAATGAACTGTGTTACCCACCAACTGGCAACCAGGGTTGTCAAAATACTATTGTGTAAATTGGCAGTGGGTGGAATCACACAGCCCAAAACTCTGAAACATAGTTTTTTTCAGAGAAACGATTATGTAATCTTAGCATATTTCCTAAATGTCTGCAAACATATTATGGTATATTATTTATCTTTAGTACAGTCAAAATATTACATACAGCACCTTTAAACAACAACAAAAACTGAATGCTATCAGTCTGTTGGCCACCAACGCAAATGAACCACGAAGGCAGTCAGTGCATCCATACATCATAAGCCCACAAGTGCTTCATGGTTTCACCATCGAATAAAGACTGATGTCCAACATGAGGCTCAGGATTTCACAACTGCCTTAAAAGCAAAAAAGAAAAAGGTGTTTCTACCATACAATTTGCTGATTGTCAAAACAGAGCATCTTCCTCAACAATCAGTATACAGTTCTCCATCTATAAATTATGATTTTTTTAACATGTAGGGAGCAGTTTGACATGAATTATGCACTGTTTGTTTGAAGCACAGCTATAATTTTCATAACTACTAATAAAGTGCCACGGGTGGCTGTCTGTCACCTTGCCGGCATTCTGTGACAGATGACATCCTGCTTGGTTTATTCCCAGCTCTCTGCTCTCCTCTCATGCCCTCAGTGAATAACAGCAGCGCCCCGCAAAAGCACAAACATGCTCAACGTGAAATTAAGCTTTTTTTGCCGGCGCTGTCAGATAATGCGGCAAGGATGACGGTGACTTGTTTTACGACCTCATTTCTCGTTTTCAAACCTGGAGCTTCACTTGGTATTTTCCTTCCTTCCTTTGTGACTTCGCCTATGAGAACAGACAGGGCAGGGTGTGCAGAACGTAGACAAATGGCCTCTCGCTTTCGTGTTTATAGCTAGCGGAGAGAAACAAAGATGACCAATGAGAAAGAGGGGAATAGGTCAAACGAAATCTTCAATTTGAGAAGCAAAGGTATTAATTTAAACTAGCACAAACGATCATCATATATTATTTTGAATTACTGCCGACAGGCCACTGTTTTTGTGCAGGTTTCTCTGAGGCAAAGAGCACAGTCCAGGGTGAGCAGTGTTGCCAACTAATTTTCAGAGAAAGTTGCTAAAGGAAGGTCGATTTGTTGCTAAAAGTTGCTAAATGACGTTGTGATGTCATTGCTCAATGACGTCATTGCGTAATCACGACGCAAAATTGTCACATCATCAAATCTCAGCAAAAAATATATTTTATATATGTTAATTTAGATTTGTTTTTAAAATAATATGCATGATATAATATTAAAATATAAATAACTGTATTTTTAAATACATTGAATTACTGAAAACTTACACATTTTTAAATGATTACAATTTAAGTTTTTTTAGTAGCTAGTAAACTCTACACATTCTCAACAATTATGCTTTAAGCAGTGTATTAGTAGTTAGTTAGTATGCTACACTCCTAAGAAAAGTCTGTAAAAATAAGGCACAATCTACTGTTAATATGAAAGAATTTTCCGTAATGTTTTTTTTACCTGTATTTTAAATTACGCATTGTGTTTTCGGGTTACAGGTTACAAAGGATGATGGATAATGGATAATGTCCTGAAAGATTTTCCATTTTTCTTAGTGTACTAACTGATCAACAATCGCAGGTACAAGCTACTAACAAAGTGTATCATAAATGAACAATTATTCAATTATCAAATTATTCAATTATTATTATTATTAAATTGAACAATTGCAAATAGCAGCTAACTCAATTCTCGTGATGTGTGTACTGCTAGGCATCTGTGGTTTCCTCTTTTTGTGTAATTTGGATGGACAATGTGTGCCTTTTTATTGTCTGAGTCCTTATCAAAAGTTGCTAAAAGTTGCCAAATAAATGTTTAAAATTGCTAAATTTGTTGCTAGGTGCTTTTGGAAGAAAAAGTTGCTAGGGTAGTCTGAAAAGTTGCTAAATTTAGCAACAAAATTGCTAAGTTGGCAACACTGAGGGTGAGTGGACAATTAGATCCACATAGGCTGATCTGTGCAGAGTTTTCCTCCAATTATCTCTGGTGTAAACCACAGGGAGGGGGTGGGATGAATCTAGCCCTTAGCAAATAATCATGTACAAATGAGTGGAAGCAGAGGAGGGGGCAGAAATGGGAGAAGAGTCTACGGCGGCTCTGTGTGAGGCCTGTGAGATCCGTCTGTATATCTCAATGGTTTCTCCTAGACAGTTACACATTAAATAGAGAGCAAATGAAGACTTTTGCTGACATGTCTCTGATGTATTTTCATAGAGAGGGAGAGAGAGAAAAAAATGATCCTCAACAACATCAAAAACTGTGTTCAGATTTGCCAAGATACAAAAATCACAGATTTTCATATGAACTCAAATATCTCTTTTTAAAAATGTCATAATTTCAAAAAAATTGACAAAATTGGCATAGCTATTGAAACACAACTGACAAAAAAAAAAATTCTCTATATATTTGGTTTGGGATCAGTACGATTTTTTATGTGTTTTAAAGAAGACCCTTCCTTTCATCACGGTTGCATTTATTTGACCAAAAATACAGAAAAAAACCCAGTAATATTGTAAAATATTATTACCATTTAAAATAATGGTTTTCTATTTTAATATACTTTAAAATATAATTTATTTCTGTGATGCAAAGTTGCATTTTCATCAGTCATTACTACAGTCTTCAGTGTCACATGATCCATATCATATCATATTGATATTACAGATATTACAGGTTAAATAAAATTGACACTATGGTTGGAAAATGTTTTACCTGATTCGCAAACGAATCCCTCGATGGAGTCGGTTCTCTGATGAATCGGTCAAATGTAAGTTGTTAAAAGATGCCCAGCATAGCTTTTTTCTGCTGAATGATAGGATGTACTTGTTTCAATGAGCTGTAAATTTCCACTTAACCTGGTACTCTTTTGTTCTCTGTGTTATAAAGCAGCAATTTTCCAATTTAACTGAGTCACGCTAAGTTTAAGAATCGTGCTGCTTTCATGCCATGTCAAATAGAAAAGCTCCTCCAATTCAATTTAAAATTCGGTGGTTGGCATATTCACATATTTCTCACACGCCAAACCACTGTATTCCATGTTAGAAAGCATGAAACCGCTCAAAAGTTTCAGAGCAAACTTATTCAGATCAAATCACGAACCGATTTGCTAAACCATTTGACCGATTCATCAGTGGTTCTCAACCTTTTTTTGGGCCATTAGCCAGGTCCCCCACCCCCCCCATCAAATAAAACATAGTCTAATTGTCTTCACTGAATATTAAAGTTGATTATTATTTTGTGTTTATAATGAGGACTGTTATTATATTTACAGTACCATTCAAATGTATAGGGTCTTTAAGACTTGATGAAAACGGTATTTTTTGATCAAATAAATGCAACCTTACTGAGCAGAAGAGATTTGTTTCAAACCCATTAAAACATCTTACATTACCTTTTTTTGAATGGTGGAGTATAGGCTATATTTTATTTATAATATATATTTTAAAAGCATATTTCAACCAAAAGATTACACCCCTCATTAGCCCATATATAATTAAAAAAATATGTAATTGAATGCCACATGACATTCATGACATATTTGATTTGACTGGACTTGAAATATCATTATCATTAGTTTCCCAAGGAGCAAAAAAAGCCACGTGAAATGTAACTTAGGCTATATTTATGAACGGTGAATAAACTGTTTAGAAATTCGGGATTCAAGAACAAGAACACCTCAGCGCCCCCTTTCAAAAATATTGCTTCTAGCGCCCCCTGATGCTCTCCGAAACACTACATTACTCCCGTTGAATCAGTAAAGATTCATCAGAGAACCGACTCCATCGAATGATTCATTCGCGATTGCTAGTTTTGAGCCCAAACGGCCGACAGAAACGGAGACAATGTGATTGCAGACATATTGTGAGGGATAATGTTTCTCAGATCCTCTCACTTTTTGAGGAATTGCAATTAAGAAGTTTACTTTGCTTAATCGCATGTGAGGGAAATAACTGTAGAAGCTTCGGACAGCTAGTTGCTTCCATGGTGGGCGGGCCTAACGCGTAAGTAGCAATCCTATTGGCTAGTGCTCACCTTCACTGTCCACGATTTGATTTCAGCAAATCACTTTGGACGTACACAGTCAGCGTGATTCATTTTCATGAGCACATTAGCTTTCCTTGCATAGTACGGCAGACGCTGACTTTATACGACCGTCTGCTTGAGGGAAGATAAACATTTAAGAGAAGTCGTCTTTGATTATTGTAAGTTGGTGTTGATAATAGATGAAAAAAAATGTTTTACAAGTCAGTTTTAGTGTGTTTTTAAGTCTTTGACCTTACTGTTAGTATTTTTTTCCACCAAAAACACTGAATGACCAATAATTCAGTTTGATAGCCTATAAATGTGTTTTCATTCATAGATGGTTGCAACACATTTTAGTTGAAATTATTGAGGTTACGTTATTGACTGATGTTTCTTCAGCTCTATTTCAAATGATATCCCATATTAAAGGGGTCATATGATGCGATTTCAAGTTTTCCGTTCTCTTTGGAGTGTTACAAGCTGATAGTAGATAAGATAAGATCCCTAAAGTTGCAAAGACTAAAGTCTCAAAACCAAAGAGATATTCTTTATCAAAGTTAAGACTCTGCCACGCCCCCCTAAAACGGCTGGTTCTAACACGCCCCCACATATCTACCTCACTATGTGGCAATATTAGCATAATGCGGCCCAAATGTGCACGCAAAGAAAGAAGGTGTGGTTTCAGTAACCGCAGTTAGTGTTGATGCAGACATGTCAGAGAGACGGTGTGTTTCTAGGTGAAAGCAAAAGCACTTTATTTGGCCTTCTGAAAGTAGATGCATTTAGGAATCTTTAAGATTACTTACAACAGAACAGCAATGCATTTTATGGACGACCGTTTCGTGAACCTAGGAGAGGAGGTAATTCTGACTTTGCTATGACAATCTGGCGCTTCTGAATAAGCTACTGTTTTGTTATTAGTTTAAGTATTTGCTAATGACTGTTCAAGTGCGGAGTTTTGCGCATCATGTGTGTGTGCGTGTGTGTG